GGGATCCAGCATTGTAGGGGTCAGAGTGCTCTTCCCAGCGTATCCCCTGGAGGGAATGGACTCTCAGCTTGCAAATACCTGGAGGGGTCCCGCTCACCTCTGCTCTGTGTCCACACTCAGCCAGCCACCATGGGTGTCCTTGGCTTCTGAAGTGGATTCAGTTGTGGTCCTCAAAAGACGTGTCCACCTGCAACTTTAGAATGTGACCTTTTTTGTAATAAGCATTTTTTGCAGGTGTAATTAAGTTAAGGATCTTCAAATGAGATCCTCCCGGATTTAGGGTGAGGCCTAAATCTGATGACTGGGGCCCTAAACCCAATGACTGGGGCCGTCATAAGAGAAAGGAGTTGAGAATGAGACACAGAAAGGAAGGCCATATGAAGACAGAGGCAGAGATGGGGGTGACGGAAGCATCCTTAAGTCCAGGAACACTGAGGTCGCCAGCAACCACCAGAAGCCAGGAGAGAGGCGTGGAGGAATCTCCCTTGGGGCTCCAGAAGGAGCTGATCCTGCCAAGACCTCGATTTCTGAAGTCTGGTCTCCAGAACAGCGAGAGAATAAAGCCATCAAGTTTGCGGGTGGTTGTTACAACAGACCTAGACATGAATACAGCTTAGATAGTGATCATAGGTATTGGAAAAGGATCTATGTTCCAATAAAGCAGGGAAACACTGTTTTAAAACTATAGGTTTCTTGGCCGAAGAACTTCTCAGAGCCTTTAACGGGCTGTAGAGCTCTGTGCAATTCCGAGGGTGGGTATCGGTATCGAACATGCACTTCCCACACTTATTGAAGCAAGGAACCTTTTTAGTCATCTCAGGCTGCCATGACAAAATGCCACAGACCGAGTGGCTGCAACAACAGGGATTTATTTTCTACAGTTCTGGAAGCTTGAAGTCTAAGATCAAGGTGTTGGCAGGGATGGTTTCTGATGAGACTTGTCTTCTTGGCTTGCAGACAGCTGCCTTTGGGTGTGTCCTCGCATGGCATACATGGAGATGAGAGGGGGAGAGAGGGAGAGAGACAGAGAGAGAGACAGAAGAGTGCATGTGTGCTCTGGTGTCTCTTCTTCTTGGGTCCTATTGGATATTGGTCCTTTTGGATTACGGTCCTATTATGACCTCATTTAACCAAATTACCTTCTTAAAGGCCTTATCTCTAAATACACTCACACTGGGGAGTTAGAGCTTCATTATATAAATTTTGGGGGACACAATTCAGTCATAACACCTTACTTCATGGGATCGGCTTTCTGCCAGACACACCTGGGGAAATGCAAATTTAATTTCCTTGAACTTGATCACAGGGGTATAGGGTGGGGGGTCGGGGCTGCCATCCATCCCTGCCTGGATAAGGATGTCCTTGGTAGTGGCAGGAGAGGAGAAAGAGCATGTGGTGGATATTTTTTGAAGCTCTTTCTGTTAAAAGATAGACTCTATTTTCTCTACCCCTGATCAGGGCTTTGGCCATGTGACTTACTTTAGTCAAGGGGACAGTAGGAAATATGACACAAGCAGAGGCTTAGGAAGTGTTCGTGCACTGGGGCTTGGCTTCTCTAACTCTTTTTGAGCCCAGCTTCCAAATGAAGAAGTCTGGCATGCTGGATTCTGAGATTAGTGTGGCCCAGTTACCCTCATCACCCCAGCCAAATGCCAGATGTGTGAGTGGGGCCACCTGGGACCTGGACTGTGCAGCCCCCAGCCCATCTGCCTGCTGACTGCAGCCTCATAGACTAGTGGAAGAACCACACAGCTGAGCCCAGCCCAATTAATAATAATAATAATAATAATAATAATAATAATAGTTGCTTTAAACTACTCAAGTTTTGAGATGTTTTGCTAAACTGTAGTTAAGCCATCTCAGAAGAGACCTGCAACTATCACTGCTTTATATGGCATAGTCTTCTCAGAGTGCTTCTGTTTGTACCAAAGTTAGCCTGCTCAGTTCTATGGAAAAGTGGTCTTTGCCACCAGTCTTACTTTTAAAGTTTCTAGCCCCTTAAAGATGTCAGCATGATGACTATCAGGTGAAAAAAATCTTAAACTGATAACCCACAAAAATAAGATGTGAGTTTTATTAGGTCAGTCCCTAAAATTAGCCATAGATTGGCTATAGAGAAGTTGAAAACATGTTTTAAATGACAGAATGTGTTAAATATGTAAAAACTGACCTATCTTGAATATTCTTGAATATTCTACTGGAAGGAGCTGGTGAAACACTGAGGTTTTACTTGCTAAGTAATTTCCTTTTGAGAAATGGCACCATCTTCTGAAAATCAAACTGAAGTGACCGTCCTGGTGGTAGGGGAATGGGAGTGGGGAGAGCCGGGGATGTGGGGACAGCTCCCAGATGCCCTCCCAGTCTGACCTGGTTCTCTGCTGCCCCTCAGTGCTGGTTCTGTGGCATTGCAGGACAGTGCCACCCTTGATGCAGGCTCCTGGCTCTGTAGGCAGCTGGTCCCTCTCAGGATCTGGGGCTTAGAACCAGATCCCATTGTACAGCGCGAGGAGGAGGTTTGTGTCCCATATCTCACCCTCATCCCCCCCGCCCCAAAAGCTACACACCACAAGGTGCCCAGTGACAGAATATGGATCATTAACAACCACTGCCTCCTATGGGGCAATTTTATTTTGGAGTCTGACTGACATCATATGATACACTGAAGGTCACCCATCCCCGTATCAAACGTGGGTTCCATAGAATTCTATAAGAGTTGACTTGCACTGTAGTTGAAGGTTTTTTTTTGAAGGTCAAATACACATCACGTAAAACTTACCATTTTAATCATTTTAAAAATGTACACTCAGTAGCAGTAAGTACAGTCACAATGTAATATGAACATCACTACTATTTAGTCCCAGAACTTTTTCATCATCCCAAATGGCAACCTGTACTTATTAAGCAGTCATTGCAATTGACTTTTTGAGGTTACAAATTTTAGACATTTAAACAATTATTAACATTCATTATTAACATTTATCGATCCAGGGATTACTTCTATTTTTATGTTTGGAGTCAATCTTTTTTTTTTTTTTCAAGCCACACATCTTCTCACAGGACCTTAAGGTTTAGGCCTGTGCCTGGGGTGCCTGGGGTATAAGGAGACTGTGAGAGGCCCACCTCCCCCCATCTGTGCCTCACCAGGACCTACTGGGACCCTGGACCCTGCTGCCTTCCCAGGCCTCCCTGCCCTCCACACTACCATCAGCTATTGATTCTTTTAAACATATGTGCACAGTATAACTATCTTTCTAGATTAAAAAAAGCATGACATGGTTATTATTGACAAGTTGAAGAGTATAGATGAGCATAAAGGAGCATAACCACCCTCTCTAATTCTACCATCTTGAGACAACCACTACTAACATTTAGGTGTCTTTTTTTCCCACAATTCTTTTTTTTTTCTAGTCAAAGTTACCACCCAATTTACCTCAACCAATAAATACAAGATCTATTTTTATTTGCAAAATTGGAATCTCATTGTTTTAAAATTTTTCAGTTTGAAACTTTGCTTTTTTTACTTATTAAAAATATTTTGAGCAATTTCCTATATCCTCGAATATAATTTTAATAGCTTTATACATTGAAATATACATTTAAATTTAACATAATTTAAAATATGACTTTATGTTTGTATCTGTCATATACATACACACCATACTTATTTGGCCAGTTGTCTATTATAGTATGTTTTTCAGTTCATTATCACCAGGTATAACTGCATAACAACATACCCCAACATCTTAGTAGCTCAGCCACAAAGGCTCATCTCTTGCCTGTCTTATACTTCCTTCACAGGTTAGTTGGGACTTGGTTCCTTTTGGCTGTGGGTCAGCTGTAGCTGTAATTCTTCGTTCTAGAATATAAGCTAAAGGAACAGCCCCCACTGGACACATGTCGATCTTGTGGCAGAGGTCAAGAGCAAGTGAGCAGGTGGAAATAAGCACTATCTCTTCAAGTTCTGCTGGACATGCCACAGGTCATGTCTACACACATGCCACTGGCAAAGGCAGTCAAGGCCAAGGTCAGTGGGGCTAGGCAGATAGTCCTTCTTCAGGAGGCACTGCAAATCGCAGAGCAGTGGGTGAGATTGTGTAATCCCCTTTCAGGAAGGCAGAGTGAATAATTGGGAATAATGACACCATTGGCTACAGATTTTTCCATGTTTAAACTATGAAAGTGCTTTTCATGTCTCTTTTTTCATGGTATTAAATCTCATGTAATTTTTAAACTAAATTTTAACCAAGATTGCACAGGTACATGTTTTTAAAAGACAAATAATTCTTTTAGGCTTCTTTAAAAAAAAAAAAAAAGAAAGAAAAAAGAAAACAACAACTCCAAACGGCAGCTTCCTTCCAGCCAAATTCCCACACCTCAACCAATTAGAAAATAACTTTTCCCTAGTCTTAATATGTGCCAAGAACTATGCTAAATAATTTACCCAAATTGCCTCAACTTAATTTTTACAACCACCTCTGGAGATAAACATATTAGTTATCTCTCTAACAAAAAACTTGAGGCCGAAAAAGCGATTTCTTTGGTTTAAGAGGCCACTTGCCAGCAGGGGGCAGATTTGCGGTTGGAACCCAGTTCCCCGACGCCTGAAACCCGGGCGTCGAACGTCCGCACCAGCGGTTCTCAAAGTGCGGTCCTCGCCAGTAGTTCCGCCCTCGCCTGGGATCTCGTTGGGGATGCGCATTCTCGGGCCTCACCGCAGCAGCGCTGCTGGCTCAGAAACTCTGAAGTTGCAATCAGCTGTTAGGTGACTCCGACAGACAGTCCAGACTGACAACTGGGCTCCACCAGACAGCCTCACCTGTCCCCCAAGCCCCTCTTCCGCCTGCTTCAGTGACTACCTACTGGACGCAGGTGAGAGCCCATAGAGACACTACCCTTGTCCTTCCCAGCCTCAGTGGACCCCCCTCCCCCCACACCACCACCGGCAGGCGCAGGACTACAGGTGACTAGCGAGAGGGCGGGAGTCCCCTCAATCACGGCGAATGGGCGTCCCTGGTCCGCAGCTGGAGAATCGGGTCGGGAGGAGGAACGTGAGTCAGAGGCGGGAAGGCCGCAAGTCAGAGGGGCTCTGCGCTAGAAGGGGAAGATCCTGGCGAGGAAGGCTTAGGGACGGGGTCCCAGGTCATGGGGAGGAAGGAGTACCGGGGGTCAGGTGGAAAACCCTTAGGACTGTTCCTTCCAGAAAGTTTCAAGGCAAGTGGGTCGTGCCCCTAGTGGAGCATCTTGGATACAGCAGGCCAGGTGACCTCCCCACTTCTCCCAGCCTGAAGCCAGGTGGCCTGTTCTGCTCCTGAGCGCCTGCTCCTTGGGGGCTTAGATGTCCGCTGCAGCCCCTGTTGGGTATGTGTGCCCTGGAGATGATGAAGGCCCTGTGCGGGAGGAAGTCTAGCACCTGCCAAGATGCAGACCCAGGGCCTGGCGAAGCCATGCGGGAACTGGGTTTGGAGCTGGGTCACTCAGGAGAAGGGCAAAATCAAGATGGCACAGCCTGGGGGTGATGGTCTAGACTTCATCTAGATTTCTGTCATTTGTTCAGGTCGTGTCACCCCACTTGGTGGCAGCGCCCATCCCTCTATGTTATCCCCATTCGTTTCATTTAGTTCTACAGGAGCCGTCCTGTGCAGCCGGGCTAACCACCCCCGACTTTCCACAGTCAGCCCCGCTGGCTCTCCCTCTACCCGTGTCCTCTAAATCTGGACTTCTGTTTGGTTTCTCAGTTCTCCTGGGACTTCCTGACCAGAGAAGGGAGGCTGACAATAACTAAGAATCAAACAATAAAGATCATTCCAGACTGTGATCAGTTCCACGAAGGCTATAAACAGGAGATTTAGTAGAAGGATTTTTGGGGTGGTGGCACGTCAAAGTGTGTGGTTGGAGCCCTGAAGGACGAGAAGGTGCCAGGCAAAGAGCCAGGAAAGGGAGTCCAATGGGCACGTGCAAAGGCCCTGAGGTGGCACAGAGTGGTCTGGGGGTGCTCAGGAAATGGGAAGGGGAGCAGAGGTGGGCAAGGCTGGGCTGCAGGCTGAGTTAAACTTGGGATTATTCCAAGAGACTTGGGGAGGATTTTTCAGCAGGGCTGTGGCTTGGCCTGGTCTGATTTATGTGGGAGCTGGCAGCAGCCCTTTAATCAAGGGAATAAAGTTACCATCTTTAGTAATGGACCAAATCAGAACTGTGTGCTACCTCATGGAATGCAATAAAAGGAACACATCCCCTTCCTAAGATATGCCCTCCCCAAATGGGCAACCTGAATCTATCATGAGGAAATATTAGACAAACCATAATTGAGAGAAATCCTACAAAACAACTGGCCTGTAATCTTAAAAAATGTCAAGGCCATGAAAGCCAAGGGAAGATGGAAGTACTGTTCTAGACTGGGACAACTGGCGGAACTGGCAAGGGTCTGAGGATTAGCTGGCAGCAATGGCTCACTCTGAAGTTCCGATGTTGATGGCTGCGCTGCGGTGACAGACGAGATTTCCGCCCGCAGGAAGTACACGCTACAGTTTTTAGGGAGCCTGGGCTTCAGGTCAGCAACGTACTCTCAAATGGTTTAGGACAAAGAGTTCTTTGTACTATTCTTGCAAAATTTTTCTGGAATGTGTCTTGTCATTAAAAACTCCACATGTTCCTGGGAGCCTATAAGAATTATTATTTCATTCGCACGGCAATGGGCTAAGGATGGTCACCCCTATTTGATGGGTGAGAGAAATGAGGCCCCACAGCTCACGCAGACAGCTGGGGCACAGGGATCCAGCCAGGGCTGTGCTGTCTTTTAGGTCACTCAGTGAGGTGTGTGTTTAGTCAAGAACAGGGCTTTGCAGGAGTGGGTGCGAATTGTGCTCCCTCCGCTGAGGATTGGGGCTGAACTGAAACAATATGGAAGCCTGGTTAGTGCCCACAGACCCCCGCTGGCGGGGGTGGGTGCTGCCCCCACGTGGGGACCACTCAGGGGACACAATCAGGGCCTAGGCTTTTGGCCAGAGGCCAGGATGGGGACCGTGGGGCAGAAGGCTAGGCGCCTGGCAGCGAAGGTTGGGCAGGAAAGTGAGCTGTGTTTGGCCCCTCATTCCTCACACTGGGCCTGGCAGAGAGTGTGACAATCAGGATGACAAAACGGTGGTGATATGGAGGTGGCCTCCAGTGCACTGGGGCATGGGACTGGCCGAGAGTGAGAGTGAGCACGTATCTGTGTCCAAGTTTCCCAAGCTGCCTTTGGAAGGCTCTGCCCAGACTAGGCCTGACCGTACCGATCATCTGAAGAGAGAAAGAGCTTGGCCAGAGATGAGTCACCAGAATTAAAGAAAGAACTGTGTATCTACACATATAATTTTCATATGAGGAACAAATGTTGACTATTACACAATTTTTTTTTAACTGAAAGCAGAAAGAATTACCTCCTCACTTCCCATTCTAGTCTATCCCCCAGAGACAACCGCTGTCAACTTCAGAATCAGGCCAGGATCACTCCCCAGGCTGTGGGCTGCACACTGGCCTCTGGCCGGCTGCTGCACAGACCCCAACTGGTTCTCCTCTCATCAGCTCTGTGAAGGGGATACAGGTCCCCATTCTACAGGTGAGGAAGCTGAAGTTGAAGAGGGGAGGGATTTGCCCCAGGTCACACAAGCTGTCCACAGCCAAGTCCTTACTCTTGCTGCAGCCGCCCTCCTTCACCTCAGAGGAGGCCTCTGCCCCTTTCCTGTTCAGAAATGATGTCTGCTCCGGAAAAGAGCAGGGCCTGGAGCAGCGTGGGGGCCGGGGTCCTCCTGGGGGTGCCTAGCGAGGCTAGGTCTGTCCCTGTAGCAGGGGCTCAGCCTGAGTAGTTCTGCCCGAGCAAAGTCCCCTTCGTACCGTCCTTGTTTATAGCGCTTCCATACAAATAGACTCGCCTAGCGAGGCTAGGTCTGTCCCTGTGGCAGGGGCTCAGCCTGAGTAGTTCTGCCTGAGCAAAGCCCCCCTTCGTCCCGTCCTTGTTTATAGCGCTTCCATACAAATAGACTTGAGAGCTTTCTGGGAACATGAGTGGCCGGAAGGCAGGGTCTTAGCAAGAAGGCTACCCAAAGAAGGACAAGAACTGCCTCGGCCACTACAGATGCATGGGGCCTGGCCCCAGTGTGTAGCCTCTTTGTCCTTCAGTTTCTCTCTCTGCAGCCTGCTCTTCTGAGGGGATGAAGAAAGAAACCCCTCAGTTATTTTCTCTTGCTGCCTTGAAGAAAAATATTAACAATCACTCACTTCCTTTTGTTCAGAAATGTACCAGGTTTCTGAGACACACATCTATTCTCGTTTATTTGAAAAATAGCCATCGAGTGCCGGCTGAAAGCATTCATTTTATTCAGTCCTCACAATAACCTTACGAAGGAGGTCTGTCGTCATCCCCATTTCACAGATGAGGAAATTGGGGCATAGAACGACTAAGCAACGTGCCCCTCTACAGCCTTACAAAGATAATAAAACTTTTGTCTCATCTCACAGCCTCTCAGAGCTGCACACACACATGCTGTGACCCCTGGAAGGCACCAAGCCCCAGCTAGGGAACTCTTGAATTTTTACCAAAAGTTCTAGAGCAAACTGGTACCAACACCACTCCCTGGGGAAAAGCTCAGGGGTCGGCAGGGCGAGGAGGGGCTGTGGGGCTAGTCACATGCCTCAGGCCCGTGAGCCCTGCACACGCTCCAGAGCCTGGGAGGTACCATGACCAGCCCCTGGAGGGCCCAGCAGCCCTCCCTGGGCAGATCTGCTGTCGTGTGGAGTCTGCCCTTAGTGCCCTAGTCTGGGTAGACAAGCATCAGCCAAGCTCAGGAGATGAGGTATACACCCAGAACACCTGAGGGGTATTTACTCCAGGCCTCAGCCCTGAGGGGGTCCCTGGATGAACATGGCTCTGGGGACGCCACCTCAGGATGGAGGAGGGAGGGAGCAGGATGTCTCTGGGACCTGACGGAACATGCCACCATGGTGGTCTCAAGCCCAGGGCCCTCTGGACAGTGCTACAGCCACAATGGCCACTGGGCCTCTCCTTTTAGGGGGCTGCCTTTGGCCCGAGGTGGTCTTTGATGGCTGTTAATGCTGTGAGGGATGCAGCCAGCTGCAGGAAGCCCTGACCTGTGGGAGCCAATCTGCCTCTGTCAGGCAGAGATGGGTCCTTCCCCATCATTTCTGGGCTCTGAGCACCTCCAAAGGGTCCATGGGGGTGTCAGGTTGCTCAGAGTCTGTGCAAAGCCGTCAGCGTGGTGTACGTAAGTATGTTCCTGTGATGGGGGCGGAGGCTGACAACGCTCATCCCATGCTAAGTGCTGTCTGTGCCCCCATGGCAGGCTGTTTCCCAGCCATGCTGCCTGCCCCTCATCTGATGTGATACCAGCTCTGATCCTGAAGGGTCCACCAGGCTCCTTCATCTGGGGCTGAGTAGTTAACTCTCTGGGACACTCCAAGGTCCTTAACCCCAAGGACTTGGGAACCATCTGCACTCCCACACTGCCGTGACCTCCCTGTGTCTAGAGCTTTGTTTATACCCTGAGTTCCTGGGAAGGCAGGTCTGGCAGAGGCTCTGACAGTGACTCATGGGGAGAGACGTATGGCAGGGAAAGTCTAGGAGCACCAAGGCCCCACTTCCAGTTGTCACTAGATGGGGGTAATCTTACCTGACTTTCTCGAGTGCTGACCGGGCGCCAGCCTGAGCTAAATTTTGAGCTCGGACTCCTGCTGGCAGTGGAAAGGGTGGTTAGTCCGGTCCACAGGAAGGGGAACCGCGCAGGCGCAGTGGCTGCGTCTCTTCCCACTCACACAGCTCACCAGCAGCCTTTCTGGGGCCCGGGGCTTCTCAAAGTATGATTCTGGGGCCTGGAGCTCTCTGGAAGCGTTTGTCAAAAACGAGGCTTTCTGGACCTCACCCAGACTAAGTGCATCAGACCCTGGGAAGAGGCTCAAGAGCCAGCATTTTAGTCCGTGGGGTCCCCATTTCTAGGATCCTTAGCAAGTTCCTGATGAGATAACTTCCAGCGAAGAGCCGGCTGGAGGAGGGGGCAGAGCAGGGAAGGTGCCCCTTGCTGGGCTTTACATGCACACGGTTGGGGGAGCAGGAGAAGCCTGGGGGTCCCCGCACTCATGGCTCTCCCGCCCTGTGGACACGCCGAGATAGGGTGAGAGGGGCAGGGGCAACGTGTGAATGGATGAGAGGGAGGGCACTGGGGGGTGAGAGAATACAGTGAGGGGGGCCAGGAAGGAAGTGGGGGCCCTACAGAAGGGAAGACGGGGCTGTGGGACGACGGACTGGAGGGAGAATGGCGGCTCCCCCGGCAGTCCTGGGAGGCGACGGGGACCTGGACTCAGGGTCTGGAAAACCCGAGGCGGCCAGGGGTGGAGACTGCTGTGCCGGGGCCTGGGGGAGGAAGAGGAACCCCCGCGTGAAGCCTACGAGGCAGGATGCGACCCATTGGGGCTCATTCACTTCCAGCGGCTGGTGGGATGTCCTTGGAGGCACGTGTGAAACGTGGGGCAGGAGGAGGTGGGGCCGAACGGACACTGCGATCAGCGCGTTGTGCTAAAAGTCAGCGCGTCGCAGGGCGGGAGCAGCACGTGCGACCTCACCTCTCCGAGGCCGCTTTCTCATGTGCAGACTGGGTCGCTGTGAGGGTTCCGCGGGATAAAGTTGCTCCTGGCAGTGCCGGGCAAACGCTCGGGAGCACAACTGCTAAGGTTTGGGCGGGTGTTGGGAGAGGCCCGGGTGGGGGT